TAGCCTGAGTCCCAGTTCAACTGTTGTTGAACTCTGTCGTTTTGATGGCGAAGGCGCGTAGCCTGAGTCCCAGTTCAACTGTTGTTGAACTCGGTCGATTTTGATGGCGAAGGCGCGTAGCCTGAGTCTTGGTTCAACCGTAGTTGAACTTACTGACGAAGGCGCATAGCCTGAGTCCCAGTTCAACTGTTGTTGAACTCGGTCGATTTTGATGGCGAAGGCGCGTAGCCTGAGTCTTGGTTCGACCGTAGTTGAACTTACTGGGGAAGGCGCGTAGCCTGAGTCCCAGTTCAATTGTTGTTGAACTTGGTCGAATTTGATGGCGAAGGCGCATAGCCTGAGTCCCAGTTCAACTGTTGTTGAACTTTGTCGATGTTGATGACGAAGGCTCATGGCCTGAGTCCCATATTGTGGGTATTGAGTGCTGAAACTCGTTTTGGATTTGAGACCTTGAGCGGCTTATCCGTTGTCCTCCCAACTAGGGTATATAGGCTGTCTTGAGGCGACTCTCGGATCGAGATATCTCCGTGCCGGTTTCTGATCGAAGCTTGTATCAAGGACGTGGGAGATGTCTTATAGAGCCCTTCCCTTAGGAGGGGGGGAGGCTTCTTCTTTTTGTTTGCACTATCTGAGGTCGGAGAGAGAGAGAGAGGACTTAGATCTTGATTTGAGATCTTCGAGTTCCCCTTCGAGTTTGGCGTTTCTTTTCTTTTTGTCCAGGGAAGAACTACGCGATTTTGCTAGGAAATCCCCACAGACGGCGCCAAATTGTTTGACTCAAAAGTTATTACATACCTTATGAGTATAAAACAATATAAATAAATCACGGAAAAATCATAGCAAACCGTAATAATCCGTTGGACCAAATGAAGGAAACGAAAATAAGTACTCAGGATTAGGGGGAGAAACATTAGAAGCCTTTATTGATAATATTGGTTTGGTCTGCCTCTCCATGAAGAGGTTCAGAGCCTTACAATGGTGTTCCTCTTGCCCATAATTTGGGTAACGTTGCCTCTTTTTTCTCTCTCAATAGTGGTGAAGAAGAAGCCCCCCCTTTCTAGGGTTTCCTCTCTTGGTATTTATAGCTGTGAGCTTCGTGAGCTGGCAATAAGTGGCCGTGACCACGTTGGGATTTCGCCTTCATGGTGGCGGATGGGCCATGGCCTTGTTGATCGAATCAGATGCGGGTTGAATATCGTTAATTCTGAATGGTCGTGCCACTAATTAATCATGAATTAGCTTAAGACGGGATTAACTTCGTTAATTATCGTGGGGTTGGATTCTGACCCATACAGATTAGTCCTTTGAGTAGAGCAAGCACGATTCCTCAAATTCAACTATTGATGAATATTTGTACCCTATATAGAAAAAAATCAAACAGGATAAAATTATCATTTAGTTATTTTTTTCTAATATTTATGACTTCAAGATCAAAATATTGAATACGATATTAATATTCAATCTTTAAAAGTAACAAAATGACTAACAGTTCAATTAATAACAATAAAATATAAAAAATTAAAATTATAAAATTGAATGAGAAATCAAAGCAGTACATAGATAGAAGACTAGTGGGGGTAGCCCGGGCAAAAACAAAGTTGTCAGCAAGGAGTGAGTTCGTGTATAGAAGAGAAATAGAAGATGCAGATTTGTTACAAAAATGTTACAGAGTAATAGGAGATCGTACATAGCTACTGCATAAATGTTGCTTTTTCTAATCCTTCTATTTCTAATTCATATTGTTACACAAAAAGTTGTAGCTTTCCAGTAGCATCTTGACAAACCTGTGTAAAATGGCAACAATTAGCATTATTGTCAACAAAGGTGATAAAGTATTATGTCAAATAAGCTTTAGCAACATTGAAATAAGGGCGAGTATATGAGGTTTAGAATAGAAGAATGGTGCGTAGATAGTCGAGTGTGGAACTCCATCTTTTGGAGTATACCACTGATTATTTGTTGCAACGTTGAAACTACAAGGGAATCTGAAATCTTCCACAATGTTAGATTGATATTATCATTACAAAAAAATTTAGATCTTAAATGTAAACAGAAGAAAAAGTAAGCAAAGAGAAATTTTTTAAGGGGGCAGTTAACAGTGAAACAAGTAAAATTTAATAAGAGCAGTAATTCAAGAAGAATTTGACTTTATACTGCTTTTCTTTATGTTTTCTTGTAGGTCATGCAGATCCAACAAATTCAGTAGAAATCAAGGGAATTAAACAGATATTTTGTCTCAAAATGCTGAAGTACCTTATATTTGGGGGCAAGTGTAACAGTAGTTCTGTCGTACGCAGCAACAAAATTGAGCATTTTTGCCTTCTTTCTTTCAGGAGCAAAAGCATCTTGTATCAAAATTCCAATAAATCTAACTTCTTGCACAAAATTTTTGTTCTTTTGAATAAGCGAAATTTTCCCTCTTGGAAGTAGGTGACAAGGTGTAAAATACAATGGTTATTAAATCAAACAGCTATCTTATCCAAAATAAGTATTGTTTTACAGTTACCTTTAGCAGAGGTGGCTTTAGATACCGGTGGTGTCAGTTTCAGGGTGCCGTTATTGGTGCTTGTAAATATAGCTAAAGTAGGTTCTTCTAAAAAGAAATATGAGGGAAATTACTTATCAGATACCGTAGTAGTGAGCACAGATAGGTCAAGATGAGCTTACAAGAGCAAGAAAGTTTGAGGTACAAAAAACATTAAATTCAATGTGCTTACCCTAGGACCAATTGGTACGCCTTTCCGATCATCTGTATACATAGGAAATCAGAACATTTTTTAAGATAGTATATTAGTATCTTACAAGTAAATGCACAGTTCCAATCCTGTCGGTATCCAAGGGCTTTTGGTTTGGATAGATGGCGATCATATGCATAGAAGGTAGTATAATGGTTTATGCCCACAATCAATTGACCCTTTGACCATCTTAACCTCTTCTTTTGTGAATTTGGGTAAACGATTTCCAACAATATTTTGCATGGTTTTTGGGTACTCTCCATATACCAGAGGATGCAAAAACCTGTATAATAAAGTCCAAATAAACTTCAGATGAAATTTTGCAGTAGTATTAAGCAATGTAGTGCCATTTGGAAATTCTTACCATCCCAATTCAAAGTGTCTTGCTCTTTGAGCAGCATAATTGTCCGCTTTGGATCTAGTCAGAGGTTCAAACCAAACAAAATCCAAGATAATTCCAAATTTTCCCTTCTGTTTCTCCTGTGATTGCATTTAGATGATGAAGTCAAAACTTGATATTCTCTTCTAGTATGTTATGAGTTGAAATATGATGTGCAATTTCCAATAAAAGAGGAGCTTTGGCGCAACCGGTAAAGTTACTGCCATGTGACCAGGAGGTCATGGGTTCGAGCCGTGGAAAGAGCCTCTTGCAGAGAATGCAGGGTAAGGTTGCATACAATAGACCATCGTGGTGCGGCCCTTTCCCCAACCCCGCGCATAGCAGGGGAGCTTGATGCACCGGGCTGCCCTTTATATACTGATAAGACTCTTTGGCTGATAATCCTTTCTTTGATCGTCACAAGGGTGCATCCACTGCTATTCTTATTTTTTCTGCCCATATGGGAAACCAAGATACTGAATCATCAAAACAATGGCAAAAACCACGCCCAATAACAGACTAAGTTATCTAATTTGAAAGCCCATGTTTGACCAGCAGTTTGATTGAAGAAAGCACACCTTTATCCCTGGATAATTTTCACATTCCAAATTCAGTATCTCCACATAGTATTTTTCTATATACTACTACACAATATCTCAGTATTAGAATAACTTAATAAAACACCACAAGTACAAAGAGCGAATTCAATTTTTTTAAACGTCAGGAATCATTCTTCAAATAGTTCAACTCCTTAACAAGAACAATTCTCCACTTGGACTAATGCTCAAACTGATGTTTTCACCATTAAGATCCAAAAGCAGAATCATAATTGTTGCTCTGTTACTAAATTAATCAGCCAGAAAAACACAAACACAAGAAATGCAACCGCACAAGAGTTGCTTGGTCAATAATAACAAAATAAAAAAATAGGTTAAAACCGAAATAAAGGTAGCATCATCTCCAAATCACCAAACAAGAAAAAGCAAGTCAAATTATTCCTCAAACAATTGAGTACAATTTAAGAAACCAAGACAGCAAAAAACCCAACAAAACCACTTAAGCAAATCAACTACTATAACATGATAACCAACTATAAATACACCAGTAAATTAACTGATCACACCGTTAGCTTCAATTACCAGATCAAAATCAGACAAAGAACTGCTTCAGCTTCAAGCCACGTTTAGCCAACAAAAAGAACCTCAAAGAACAAAAGTCTAACATATTAAGCATGGTGGCTTTTCTTCAGCTGGTTGAAGATGCCATTCAAGAAGTACCTGAGCTTTTTCAACGGCTTCATGGATGTGACGATACATATTCGTAGCAGTCCTTAAATGGAAGTATCCACCAGCTCTGGAAGCATCCAACATGCTCTTGCAGTTGGCAAGATGTGTAAGGAATATTGGACTTGTACATCAAATTCAGAAAAAATACTTTATTGGATAAATCAGGTAAAGCAAAAGAAAAATTCAATCTTGATTAAAGACTGAGTAGAAACAATAGGAAGCCAGATAGTAACACCCAAAATAGAACCAAAACAAATCAATCTTGATCAAGGACGCAGCAAAGAATACCTTCGTAATGGCAGGAGCAAAAATATATGGTTCAGAATCAAACTCTTGAAAGCGCATGGCCTCTATAGCATTCTCAAATAGAATGTACATTGGAAGTTGGTTCAAGCCTCCTACATTAAATTTTCCAACAACAGAAAACTATTAAATCCATCTCATATAACACACATAACGATAGAGTAAATAATAATACAGCAAGAATTAGAGCATCATCAACCCATTCATTTATTGTAATTTTGAGAGAATTTCAACTAAATTTGTTAGTTTCTCTCTGTAATAGATAAATGGAAGAATCTAGGGGAAAAAGAAAAAGGTAAATCAAAGAAAATGTAGAGTAGGAATTGGCAGAGAATAATTAGGTAGCACAAGAATGAAGGTAGCAACATAGTGCTGACAATATTACAGAGCCAAGAGCATTATAAGTTTGTTTGTTTAACTACTCAAGGATTAAAAAAAAATGAAACAAAATGTACGTGAGTAAAATGACTAACAGAATAAAACAAAAAAATATTCTATCTTGGAGTAGCAGAAGACTTACAAAGATGCTCTTTGGATGATTTCGTCATAAACAATGTTGTATGTAGAATGATCATCACGGTTGGCTAGTGTGGACGGTTGGATCAGCACTTTGACACAACTTGAACTCTTTGCTCTCGATAAGGCAACATAAAGTTGACCGTGTGAAAAAACAGGTTCTCGCAAATATATTCCGACGAAATCCAGAGTTTGACCTTGCGCTTTATTTATAGTCATAGCATAGCATAATCTTACTGGGAATTGTGTTCTCTTAAATTGAACTGGTATTCTTTCGTCCTGTAACGATAATAATGGTATTCTTGGGATAAATACATGCTTATTTTTAAAATCGCCTGTCGCGATCTTAGCACTAATAACATGTGTCTTAATATCACAACATATCAATCGTGTACCATTGCATAAACCTTCATATGGATTCAAATTACGCAGCAATATAATGGGGCAATTCTCCTTTAAAGTTAATTTGTAAGGAGGTAAACCAGCAGGATTTAAACTGTGTAATAGGTCCTCAAATTGACTTTGATCATTAGGCTCAACGGTTTCGTCAAAGCCAACAAATGTAGTTGCTTTTTCTAGAAATTTTGCTATAAGAATATCGTTGATTTCATTCACAAAATCATTTTTTGTCGTCAGAACAATGCGAGCATCTGCCAAAAAAGGATTAGAGGAGCATGTGTGTACATTTGAGAATGTCACAGCGAATAAATGGTCCAGAGATTCTTCTTCAGTTGTAAAAGGAATAATCATAGAATCTGGAAGTTCAATTTTGTTATTAGTGTTGACCCTCTCTTGTCCATTTCCAATTCTCATAAGGTAATCACAAAAAGCAGGATCTGTTTTTGCCCTCATGTTCTCGGACAGTTGCAATTTTTCAAGTTCGTCCCAAATGGTAGAATATAGCAAACTTTCACTAATAAAATCTTTCTTTTTTCCGTTTCGAACAACTGGAAGAGTTTGTCTAAAGTCACCTCCAAAAACAACGACTTTTCCCCCAAATAGAATATTTGTATCCATAAGATCTTTTAAGAGCAAGTCAAAAACATCAAGCATTCTTTTTTTAGCCATAGATACTTCATCCCATACAATTAATTTTGCATCACGAATCAGACCTGCAGTTGAACTTTGTTTGCTGATGTTGCAACTGAAATTTTCATCAATGTCTATAGGTATTTTAAAACGTGAATGTGCAGTTCGCCCACCTGGAAGAATAGAAGCAGCAACGCCGGAAGTAGCAGTTGCTAGAGCTATGTATCCTTTACTACGTACAGTTGCTAATAAAGCACGATATAAGAAAGTTTTTCCAGTACCTCCAGGGCCATCAATAAAAAAAGCTCCTGGTTTCTTGGAAAATACTCGGTCAATAATCACATTGTATGCTTTTAATTGTTTTGCGTTCAGTTTTTTATGTAACAGTATATCCTCTTCACTAACCGTGATGGTTCTTTCAAAGAATACCTCCTTTGCTTCTTTTTCCAATATAGATGCTCGAACTGTTTCTGGGATAAGCTCATATTCGTTTACATTATGACCCATAGAGTGTAAAATATCATTAATCTGATTTAAAACTTGATATTGAATATCTTTCCTTTCAACATTACGTAACACTCTGAAATCTTCTGACATTGACTCTTCAAATTGTTTCCATATTTCTTTTGGATTGGCTGGACTGCAATACACTAATAATGTAGCAAATAAACGCCTTAAACTATATGGCGTTTGGTAACTTGCTGCCTCTGACATGCAATCAACTAAACTGTTATCACAGTGTAATAGTCCCCTTTTTTTCTGCGGATTCTCTAAAAGTATTATAATGTTCCCCATTTATAGTTCGGAGATCTTTATATGATTTCGGTCCCCTCACATTCAGCAATAGTAGTCTCAGATAATATCGTTCTCCTTCAGTTGGGTGACACGTTACGATACGACCAACGGCACAACGTTGTTGTCGTCATGTCCATGTTTTGTCTGTAGTTGACCATACAAAATGTTCAAGAAATTCTTTGTATAATAAGTTAAGCTTTATGGCATCTTTGTTAGTTCTGTTCATTTGGAAAAATTCTGTCAGCATTGTCTTATTAATCATAGGATTATTAATGATTGTGTTTATATCTGTATTGCCTTTAAAAGAAACAAGTTGTTGCCCTTTAAGATGTAGCTGAAGATGATAAACGCTTGGATACATCTCACTAATAGAGAAACCAAATAAACGCCATGTAGCTTCAGGTGGTGATACCCATCTAGCAGATTGATACTCTTTTATTTCATCTATTTCTTTGTTTGTATCATTATCATGTACATAAAATGCAATTTTGTCATGTCCTTTACAAATATATTTGTAAAGATATTTAACCACAGAGCAAACCTCAACGTTCATATGACAGTTGAATTTACCAAGTAAAAAAGGATTGTATGGAACAACCCAAGAGTTATCTAAATACTGCTCCCGTACTTTTACAACTTCTCCTATGTTTCGTCTTTTATAGATGGGGTAAGAATCACTTCCTTTTGATGTATGTTCAGCAAATCTTTTTGGATAATTAAACTTGCAAAGACCATTTTTTCATACAGGAATTTGTTGGATTTAGATTACCGCATGGACCGTGCATCATATGTTTAAGAACAAGCGAATGTAATTTCTTATCCAAATTGGCATCTGGTATTTCAGCACTAATGATTCCATCATAAGCCTCCGATGTCAATAACTTATATTCATTAGCTAATATTATAAGGAAATGAGCATGTGGTAAACCGCGTTTTTGGAATTATACAGTATACATATAAGCAGCAACTTTTCCAAAGATATTTCTTTTGCTTATATCAGTTTTCAGCTCTTCAACTTTAGCCCTGAATACTCGACTAATTAAATCAGGTCTATTTTGCGCCTCATCAGTTGTCCACAGATGTTCTTTTATTTCCGGCCAGGTCGGATTACAGGTCATAGTTATAACCAAATCTGGTTTACCAAAACGTTGTACTAATGTAATAGCATCCATATATCGTTGTCGCATATCTCTAGGTCCACCTATAAAGGAAGCTGAAAAGAATTTTTGCTTACCAATGTTTAGAAGAATCCCGTTCGCCAAGTCTTAAAATATCTAGAAGTCCTTGCAATATATCCATTCTAAATAAATCTTGATTGAACGAAGCAAAATCCAATCTTTGGGTTTCAATTTTTATGTATTCGTCAACTGAATATTGCTGAAATAGTCTACCAGTGTGTAGTAACTCGTCTTCATCATCATTTCTCATTTGAAGTTTATAACAATAATATTCACGAGCAGAAACTGTATCTCTTTTTTTCTTTCCTTTTTCTAAAGCTTGAGATTCCATTTGAAGATATGAATTTGAGAGAGCAAAGATTTCGTATGCTTGATAACTGTTCACATTCATGAGTATAACTTGCACGAATATTTTTTGCTTTAGGAATTTTCTTAATACCACAATGCCACCCATTTTGTCCGTATGGAAACAACAAAGGATATTGTAAGGCATCATAGCATCCGTAATAATAGTTCACTATTTGTGTTATGTTGCTGTGGGTATAAATTTGAATATGTGGGCATGAGTTATATTATTGTCATTGTCCTCAACCCATATTGCAGCAATTTCTGATGAAGTTGGCAAATTATATACTCGTTGATCTAAACCAGGATCACATTTAAGTCCAATATGGAAATTCTGTAGCTCGGGAATATCTATCAAAGATCGGATAAAAAAAGAGTATGGGTTAACTTTCAACATGTCCATCAGTTCACTCACTATAGATTCATTGATTTTGTTAGAGCATGCCATTCTATTTGCTAACTCATTGTTGTTGTCGTAAAAGTACAACTGTAGATTTTTTGATTTTTTCCCTCCGGGATACAAATCATCTATTAGGTGGTACATTCGTCCTTGAACTCTGAAAGTATAGATACCACGATTCCTTCGCGCTAAGTCTGTATCATAATTTACACCAAGTGATGTAAATGCAAACGAATTATTATATGTTCTGATATATGTTCGAAAGTGTTGGGATTTTTCATTATTCTCGAAGTATAGATTATGAAGCTTAGCAGGCATTCGATGTGAAATTATCTTAACGGTACCAGTGCCACAACAAAATCCAGGAGATTCATATTCAAATCTTTTTGCTGAGCAGAATTTACAGTTTTGAGTATTTTTTAACGGTACATAGTCTGACCGTAGCTTAATATTCATAGCAGTTCTGTTATTTCGACTGCGACCTGCATGTTCTAGAGGTTGTAAGGAGTGAAACAGTAAGCACAAAATGATATTATTCAAAGAAGACACAAATACAAACCTTTAGTTATCACTATCTCAGCTGTGTCATTTTGTTCATTAGGTACAGCCGATGTTGAACCTACCACATAAGTAATTTTTTAATTAACATTAATATGTCTTGTATATTAGTGTAAACTTATGGCAAATTTCAGCAACTTGCCTTTCTCATAAGTGCAAAGAGGATTTCGTTTGTCGAAAGCAGGAAATGATGGAAGCAATGTAACTTTACTCTCTGCATGGTAAGCATAAGCGCAGCAGATGTTTATAGTATTAAACCTAGATAAATATTCGTGTGCACAAAGAAATTATATTTGCAGTAACAGTGAAACAGTTAGTCATGCTACTCATGTTGTATACATTGCGATATAGAATTAATATACTGACCTGTTTTGGAAGTATAGGAGGAGTCCATTATATTAGGAGTGTACTGTAAATGTCCTGATGATGTATCAGTAGAGATGGTAGAAGTCATTCTGTCAAAGCGACTACGTTGTAACACTTGACTTGTGAGCACCTCATGTAGTGCTAGTGCACTCTTTTCATTGGCCATCTTAACTTTATATTGTTCGCGTCGTCTAACATTCCTATCAGGATATTTCTTTTCATAGGGACGTTTGTTTGTTTGTCCGGAGTCCATCAATATTGAAATTTGTTGCTCCCAAATATCTGTTGGTATAAAAGTTCTAAAATTGTTAAATATTATAAAATTTATCGTCAGGAAACAAATAACACTGCAAGTCTGCAATCATACTAAAACATAGTTGTTACGGTTGCTATTCAAATCAATTGCACTTTACCAAAATAAAGATGCAAATCAGGAGCTGAACAGTCACTTTGTGCAAAGTGAACTGTAACTATTTCCATATCAAGAGCAGACCGAAAAATTTAAGAAGCACAAATTTTTAATCAAACAGTAGTAATAAATACAAGCATGTTAACAATTAGAGCAAGAGAAGAAAACATGGCTAACACAAATAAGCAGAAATAAACACAATGTAGTAGTGCTCATATGTTGCAGAAGTTCATATTCAGTCAGCAAAAAGAACACCGCAGAAAAGACAAATCAACAATACTACAAGACATTTGCTATACTCCCTATTCATATCAACCCCCTCAACAGTCAGAGCAACGAAGAAGGACCGACCTATGGCAAATTGAAGAATAAAATAACATTGCTTTGTTCGTTCTCTGCTACGTTAAATTTTTTTCAAGCAACATTTCTGATTAAGCATTCTTCACCCGTCATCTTTATCCGAACAAACAAATTAACCAAAGAGAAAGAACAAAGCAACTAAAATTAAATATTTAATTCCCTTATATTATTCTACGTATTGATTATGGACTAAATGTTATTATAGTTATGTAATATCATTGTTGTTTTGTTGCATTATAGCTTGTTTCATTCAAGAAAAGAGAAATTCAGCAGAACTATGAAGTTGTTATAAGAATAAGATATCCCAAATCCACAATACCAAGGTTATTATAGAGAGATATAATTGTCTTAAGTTTCTCAATTTATTATTATAAATTTTTAGTTTGTTTTCTAACTCATTATCACTAATCTGTTTTCCTACATATCCCATTGTCTTTGATAGACTAATAATAAATATTCTCAGAACAATTCAACTGTGTTTTCCTCCAAAAAATGACCTCACTTTAGTTAAAGTCTTTTAAGTCTTTCATCTTGGCTAATATAGTCTATTCTCTGCTTCAAACTAATTCTTCATTGCATTGACTGTCTTGTATTTATAGTTTCCTCTTACTGGTAAATGAACATATTACTAATACTTTCTGTTTTTTATATTAGCATTATAACTCCAATCTCAATATTGCACTCAGGTTTTCAAACTTCTCTGAACACATAAATTTCACCCACAGCCAAACTTCTCTTACCTTCTGTCAGTTTCTTCGTCTTTTCACTGGCCAAGATTCAATTTTGACATGTATGCCCTATACTAAAACGATATTATAAGCAGAGTAGTTGAAACTCTTTTTTATTGATGAGGTAAGATTTTCTTAAACATAAAACAATGTCGAGCTGATATTAAGAAATTACGAGCAGAGTAGTTGATACTTTGTTACATCAGCACACAGAACTTCACTAATATGACCACATCTGAGTCTCTAAAAACTATCGCTGCACCATAAAAAAACATAAACAATCAAATTTACCAAAGCTATGAATCGACACAAGAGACAATTTACAATATTACAACTACCAAAATGACCTTCATAAAATAACCAAAATTCCTAGCACCCATTACCCCAAAATGGATTTAGGAAACTCAAGTTGGAATGAAGAAGCGAAAACCAATTTCAACAACCATTTTGATCTTCCCTTTAAAGAAATTACCTTTTCAGTTCTTTTTTTTTAATGAGAACCCAATTGACAAAAAATCAATTTCTGTTGTTATCTATTTCAAACATGCATGTGAAAATCAGATAGAATTACTTACAATACATATATAAAATTCATGAGTAAATTAAAAAAAGAATAGGGAACAACAGAGAACAATCAAATTTCTATTTCAACCAAACAAAGGGAAAATGGCGAGAGTCCTCACCTGAACCAATAGATTTAACGGAGGCTAGACACAAACAGTAAGCAGTATGAAAAATTTCAGATGAAAACTAAGAGGCGAGGCATGGAAGAAGCATGAGATCGTTAAACAAAGAAAAGAATGCATAAAACTCGTACACTTTAAGAAATTGAGAAATCAATTGTGACAACTCTGAACCAAATCTGAGAGGGAAGAAAAACGAATTCAAGGTCTCAGAGAAATAGAGTATATTAAAGGAAAAAAATGACTTCAAGGTCTTAAGAAACCCACCCAAAAAGGGGAAAAAACACAGACGAAGAAATTGAGTACAAAATAAGACCCTTATGCATAGAAAATGTAAACTCACCAGTTCACGGGTGTAGCAGCGAAGAACCCAGCGCGCCAGAGAATTTCAACCTGGGTTTTTCCTTACTTCAATACTCACCAGTTCACGGGTGTAGCAGCGACGAACCCAGCACCAGAGAATTTCAACCTGGGTTTTTCCTTACTTCAAGACGGTGAAGTTGAGATATTATTTGGTGTAAGTTATCACTTTAAGACTCCTACATATTCTAGGGGTCTGTTGAAATGCCAGAGAAGCATGTCATAGCCAGGCAAGCATGTTGATGACACAAATAGCAATGATGACCGAAAGCTCTTCCTTTCTCTGATTTTTTTGAGTATTGAAGTGGGTGCAATCTCTTGTTTGTTTTGTAATCTAGTCTTTAAGTAGGAAGAAAGAGGTTCAGTAGCTGATAAAAATTGGCTATGGACCGCACATGTGCCTGACTTCTTCCACGTAATCATTAAGCATCAAGTTTTGTGGGTAAATTCTTGAAACTTGGTCAATAAAAGGGGCTTAAATGATGGGCCAGACAGGCATGTTGATGATACATATAGCTGAAGGACCCAAACTGTCCCTTCTAATATAAGAGAATACTCCAACGGAATTGAAAAAAACGGAGATTAATAAATAACATTGTTAAAGAAATCAAGTTGTTTAGACGGCGATGGTCTAACTGGACTATACTTATTGAGCCGTCCTTATTAAGCTACTTTCTTCGGTCCAAAATAAATGATTTTATAAACTTTTTTTTGTAGTCTAAAATAAGTAAAATTTTTTAGATTTCAAAAATAAATTAATTATTTTTTTCTTATATTGCTCTTGGAGTAAATAGTGTTGGAGTATGTGTTAGGAGTATTTATGTGAAGAGATAGCAAAGGTTAATATGGTCAATTTCATTGTTAATTAATGCTAAAAGTTGGATTTCTTAATCCGTATAAAAACAGATAAAAATTATTTATTTTGAACCGGAGGAAGTAATAAACTGTGTTTGGTTGGTCTCCAAGTGGATTTAAAACTTTCAGGAAGAGTTTCAGACTTTCAGTCCCATCAGATTCAACTTTAAAGTTTGTCCCAGCGTTATTAATAAGAGGAACATGAATCCTCATGGGAATCTATTTGATCTTAGTTGACTTCAAGGAGATATTCCTAATGTAAATATAAAATAAAAATATAATTATACCCAACTTCCTACATAACTCAAATAAGGAAAGACTTAATAGTCAAAATTGTATTAATTTTAAGGTGCTAATATTAAAAAAATAATTTATTAAATGACAATTTTAATTTCATTAATAATTTATTAAGTCAATCTAGTCTTAGGATATATGATTTGCATGTGTGCCTCTACCGTGAATGTAAACTTCTTAAAAATTAGATAATATTATTAAAGACGTATTTGTATGGTAAAATGAAAATTAGAGGGAAAAATTCAATTATAGTGTAAAATAAAAATTAAAGGAAAAAAAACTTAAATCTTAAAATTCAATAAAGGAAAATTCTTGCCCTACAAAAATGCTCAAATGCTTTGTCAAGATATTCACATATTATTTAATTTCATTAAAAAGACATGGATGCCTAACTTTTCAATTAATTGGCTTGCAGATTTTATATCAAAATGGAAAAGTTCACCAAAAGCTTTTTGAATTCCCTTCAACGTATTATATTACATATGATTATGATCAAATTTACTAAAACAATCACCAATCTTTCTGTTGAAATTTCTATATCATTAATATTAGAAAAATCTAAAATAATAAACTGCACACAATATGCAAAAAAAAAAAAAAAAAAAAACATCCTAAAAGATGAGTTCAGAAAAGAATTTAGTTGTGAATCAAATCTGAAATACAATGATTAAAATAATATAGTAGAAGCAGCTTCCACAAGCAAGTAAAAGATGCAGAACAATTGAAAAAGAACTCCCGAAAGTTGAATAACCAAAATTTGTAAGCAACAAATTCAATATCCTATCTACTAAATAAAAATAATTACAGCGAACGAATTGGAGTCAATTCTTTCTCTTGAACACTTGTTACCAAGCATGTCAAAAATCCTCTCAACTAAGAACTCATTACCACCCTTGTTCATACCACCCAAGCCACCGGATATCCTAAATCCCTCATCTTCTTTACCTCCATCATCCTCAAAGGAGCGTTCTTCCATACCACAAGATACTAATATGCTTATTGATTCAACGCCCCATGTTATGCACCCCTCATCATCTCCTCCCCAATCTTATCTTCATACCTTGCTTTCCCATACTGTCCAAACCCTACCTTCTACTGCTAATGATCAAGTTGTTCTTCCACAAGTTATTAACGCAGAACTGGAGGCACCAACTGACCCTAATATTTTCATTCCACTATCCTTGGATGNCTAATAAACGAGGGGACTATCTGTATTGGGTGATACCCTTTTTTTGCTTGAGCCCGACCGGGTTGGGTCCGGTCCGGGGCAAGTCGGGGCCATCGAGCCCGACCTGGATGCAAGGTAGAACGACGGCCAGGTCTACAACCGAGGTCGAGTCATTTCGAGACCGTTGCAGAGCTCGATATGAGTCACCACCGGATGGAGAAACACACAAGGTCGGAAGCCGGACTCGTAACGGATAACCAAGCGTCGCCGGATATCTCGCCCAAACGTGATTTTCTCAACCACTTCAGGCCATTAAGGCGTAATTACAGGGATCCACGATGTAATTAATTTACCTACCTTATTTTTACCCTTAATCAGAATGTATAAAAGGGGAGAAGACCCCATAAAGAGGGGACCGGGAAAAAACCATTACACTACAGTACCATCTCTCTAAATTCTTGTACGCTATCAAGCACAATTGTTCTAAGCAATATTATATTCTGCGATTATTTACTTTAACAGCAATTGTTGAGTCTTTATCTTTTATTTCCTCAACCTAAACCTTTTGTATCTTTTAGTTCACGGATCCTTAAAACCCCATATAAATTCAATTGTTATCCGGATTCTAGGGTAAACAGTCTGCACAATACATAAAAAAATCTTTATTTTTCCTACTCTTCGTTTTTCAGTAATTTCACATAACCTCCTGAAGGAAAACAGAAAAAGAATAAAGATAAGAAGGCAGCATACCATTGTTGGTTTTCCCTAAACTCTGTAAGCATCGGGTAAATGTTCTCAAATCAGTATATGTCTCTCGTACGCGAGCATAGTCAACAATTTATACAACGATGGGAATGTTTCAATCTTTTTGAGAAATTAAGCAACAATTTGTGAAATAACAATTATCGAAACACAGGCTTATAAAACCATATATAGATAGAGAAAATAAGTAAAAATTGCTAACCAAATATGCATCAACATTGCGAATTAGAAGGGGCCACATCTATGTATAATGGTTCTCTGTGTGATTTTGATCTTCTTCTTTTTTTCCTACTTTGAGGTAGGGAAGTATATTTTCTATAATTGGTTTCAGTTTGTACGCTGTATTTTATCATGTAGCTTTAGCCGCATACTCCGTTTTCCCTCTAACGTAATTGATATCCAGTTGCCAATAGAAGCATGTCAAAAATCCTCTCAACTAAGAACTCATTACCACCCTTGTTCATACCAGCCAAGCCACCGGATATCCTAAATCCCTCATCTTCTTTACCTCCATCATCTTCAAAGGAGCTTTCTTCCATACCACAAGATACTAATATGCATATTGATTCAACGGCCCATGTTATGCACCCCTCATCATCTCCTCCCCAATCTTATCTTCATACCTTGCTTTCCCATACTGTCCAAACCATACCTTCTACTGCTAATGATCAAGTTGTTGTTCCACAAGTTATTAACGCAGAACTGGAGGCACCAACTGACCCTAATATTTTCATTCCACTATCCTTGGATGAGAAGGCCCGAATATATAAGCCATGGCAGCATGCAGTTATTGTCAAGCTATATGGCCAAAAAATTGGTCATCAATTACTAAGGCAAAAACTATATGCTTTGTGGAAACCTACGGAGAATCTCCCACTTGTTGATCTAGGTTGTGATTTCTATTTGCTCAAGCTTCAGAAAGAGGAAAATAAGCTTCACGCACTAAATGATGGGCCATTGTTTATTCTTAATCACTACTTATCTGTTCGGCAATGGGAACCTAAATTCATGCCATCAGAAACCACTATTAACTACTCTGCTGTTTGGCTTCGCCTACCTGAACTGCCAACTGAGTTTTATGATTTTCAGATGTTGAAAAAATTGGGTAATAAGGTTGGCACACTATTAGCCATTGATAACTGTACCTCCTCCACCATTAGGGGAAGATATGCTAGGTTGTGTATCCAAGTTCCTTTGGACCAGCCACTTTGCCAGCATGTTTATATTGGCCATCATAAGCAGGCTATTGTGTATGAAGACCTTAATTTATTTTGTGTTAAGTGTGGTCGAATGGGACATAATCAGTTGAGTTGTTCTTACCAACCAAATACTATTGTTAATGAGTCTAACAATGACTCTACTGTTCATCCATCTATCAGCTCTAATGCACCTGCTCAGCAACAATCACCCAAGGATGAATGGAAAGTTGTTACTTTCCCTAATCATGCGGCTAGGAAGTTACATCCAAGCAAAGTTAATCAAGGTAAATCAGCTTTGCCGTTTGATAAGTTTAATCAGTTTAATACTACTCCTAATAACCTGCCTTTTAATAAATTGTCGCTTCATAATTCTTCTGCTAATCGTGATAATTCCTTGGCATTACAAGGCCAAACTCCTAATAACCTAAGTAAGCCTAACCTAATTAATTCCACCAACATAATAAACTCTACCCAAGCACAGCCCACCCTCATTAGTTGCACGGCCCAATTAGATTTAGTTCACTTTCCACCATAACCTATCACCTTGCATGCAAATTGCCACGACCACCTATCTCACATGCAAGCCCTAACCCCTTCCTCACCCGTTGGCCGGTCTTCACCATTTAATGACACAAACCAAACATCACATAAAACACCCATACAAGACAAATTCATTATTGCCTCAATTTCTTCAAGCCCTAGACTAGTCTCCATGCAGGAACATCATGATGAGATCTCCACCCCCATATCTAATTCTCATTCAAACACACCACCTTTCATTCCATCAATCAAACCGCCTACACCCTCCATTCAAATCCTCCGGCATTCCCTATATCTTCATCTTCCACATCAACCTTATCTCACTTAACCACTGCCTTACCTATCTCCCCTCAATTCCACAATGCTTGCCAACAACATAAATTATCTCAGGAGGTCATCACAACCACGCAGACAGAATATCCACCATCTCTTTCGTTCCCACAATCCACTCTCCCTTCCTCCCCCACACTTGAGCATGGAACTTACCTCCATAATCTACACAGCTCATTCCCTGGAGGCTCCACTCAATCTAGTATCTTGGCTAGAAACGGGTCTCCAAAATCATGCCTTAACCTTCACTATGGAGGTGAATCATCAGGAAGTGACCATCCTCATCAACAACCCAAG